AAAGATTGGTACTTGAAAAATTTGTTCAGTATGGAACCTAGTGGTTTATTTATTACAAAAATCGTTAACAGAGCTGTGAGTTTACTATATTCATTAAAAATAAATAATTTATACCAAACAGATTCTGGCATAGATACGTGAAATCAAAAATCAATGGATTGAACCTACATGTTTCATCTGCTCACAAACTTGCACACACTACTATTCTGCTCAAAAGACAATTGCAGCAAAGAAAAAGACAACTGCCGCTTTACAAACAAGGCTAAAAGCATCCCATCAAAGAGGCCAAAATAAACATGCATATATGTATAAAGTGTTACTGGTCAACACAAACGCTACTTCTAGAAAAAATTTAACTGCATAGGTTAAAGAAAAACAAAAAACAATGTGCAACATTTTAAGCCATTAAAGCACCAAAAAAAAAAAAACCACACACACACCAAAATCACTGTTTTACGACGATTAACACGCAAACATGAAATATTGATCAAAAATCAGGAAGTAAATACCTGGACTGATATAATGTCCATTGTTGGGAGAATTTTTCTTCAGTTTAAATGTCTTATTCCCTAAAGAAATCTTAAAGTGCTAACTTTATATAAAGCAGGCAAATTCAAGTAATTTGCTATTAAGCCAATTTTTATAGAGCTAAAACAAGAAACTAACGATAAACTAAAATGAAACAAGACAGACATGGAGAGAAAAACTGACGAGGTGTAGCTGGACAGAGGAATAGATGCTATTATGCCATCCAGGCCTTTTCATTTCCAGTGAACACATTAGCTAAGATTCAGGTCTGCTGGTTTTAGTACACTAACTCCCTTGGATTTTTGGGTTTACCAAAATTTGTATATCAATAAGCACACAAGTCCTAAGGAAAAGAATGCCACTTAAAAGAATCAACACTGGACACTAATTAAAGCAATCTTAAAAAGCTGTCTACCACTATAAATGAATATAAAAAATGTAATAGCTCTCACAAACTGAAAACTGTAACCTTGTCCAAAGTTTTACTCCTGCCCTTTAGCTGCTTTTTCAAGGAAGTACACATTAACTAAATGGCGATTGAGGTGTTTACTGTAATCTTTTTCCTTTCTAAAAGAACGATCACAGAAGATACAAACAAAATCTCCCTCAGCCACTTTGACTGGCGGGGCTTCCTTTGCATTTTTTGCACTAGTTTCTTGGGGAACCGGCCGAGCCCCATGCAATCCAGAATCATCACTACCCTCTGACATGTTGTCACTTAGGTCACTTCCATCGTGACTGTGGATGCCTTCATCTTCATCAATTTCCTGAGACTCATTTTCTGTCACACTAACAGGACCAGGAGCCAAAGGCAGAGTGGTTTTGGACACTGCTTCTTGTTCTTCCACTGATGGAGAGAAAAGTGATGGCGAAGCTGGTTCTCCAAGTGCAGCACCTTTAGCTGGGAGATTCTCTGTTGCGCTCTCATCAGTGACCATTTCCATTTCGCAAGGCTCATCTGAGTGAGTCTGATATTCCCCATCTGAAGTTTCACACTCTGGCAAGCTCAACTTCGAGACCAATGCTGAAACACTGGAAGATTCCTCAGCAGCGGCTCCATCAGCTATACTCTCATCTGCCTCTTCTGATCCCTCTTTCTGCAGGGGGCCTTCTGTATTTCCTGGACCATCAGAGAGTAAATTTTGGTCTCCTGACTCCTCCTCCTTCTCCCTTGGCAGTGGTGATGGTGCTGAGAGGGCCTGTGCCTCTGTACTCTCCTTTAAAACCTGACTGTCTTTAACAGGCACTAAGCCAACTTCAATAAGGACTCGCTCCTTGTGGGCCACTTCGCTCTGCATGTTGGGCTTTTCCTTTTTACCGTCTTTTTGGGGAGATTTCTTGGAGACTGGCTCCATGTGAAGGGGAGGCTGTACCGGAGGTGGCAGCTCCACGTGCCCAGGTTCTGTATAAGCAGGTTCCGTGGAAGGCGGTGGCTCCTGCACAACCTCCATGGGGGCTGGCTCCACAGGTGGACAATCCGCCTCAACACCCTCCATGGGAGGAGGGGGCGCCTCCCACACAGGTGGTGGCTCAGCCTGTGCCTGCACAGGCACCCCTTGCACTGCCTTCCCGGGAGGTGCAGGCCCCTCCTCAGCACCCTGGCCGGGGACCGCCCGCGCAGGATCCAGAGGCAGCCCAATCACTGCAGGCCCCTTGGCAGCAGCCTCCTTCTGAGGAGGCTCCTTCTGAGCAGGCTTGCTGCTTTTCTTACTTGATTTACTTTTCAGAGCTTTCTTCTTTGTACTCTTCTTCACACAGGTATTTTGCTTTTTATTTTCCTCTACTTTGCTGTCACCCTTTGGCACCTCCTGACCTTTTTTGGATTTGCTTCCTACTTTCTTCTTCCTTTTTGTTATAGGTTCCTCCTCATTCACAGGATCACATGAAGATTGGGCTTCGGCTTCCAGCTTCCTTTTGCTTTTCTTGGTTTTACAGGGTTTTTCTGAATTATTTCCTGTGTGCACATCCATCTCTTTTGTCTCTGCGGCAGATTTGCGAGTTCTAGTAGTCACTTGGATCACTGAGACATTGCTACAAGGCTTTTTTTCTTTTGAAACATCTTTTTTCTCCACTTTTACAGATTTCTCATTTTTCTTCCCAACCACATCCCCCTTTATTTTCGCCTGTTCTGTTTCTGTTTTTTCATTAGTAATACTGTTATCAGGCAAGTCAACCTCTCGCTTTTTGGTTTTCTTTAGTTTCACTTTTGAGACATCCATTGTTTTATTAGGACAAGTAGGGTGCTTGGATTTGAAATGATACTGGAGATTACACTTTTTAGAAGCTGCATAGTCGCATACAGGGCAATTGAACTGCCGAGGGTTAACATGGAGCTCCACATGTTTTTTGAAATTGCTTCTATCTGCTGTTTTGTAGTCACAGTGAGGGCAATTAAGAGGTTTAGGACCATTGTGAACCTGTCTTGCATGGCGAGTTACTTCATGCTGATTAGAGGCCACATAACTGCACTGATCACATTTAAATGGTTTCTCACCTAAAGGTAAACAACAAGTATTAGAAGACAATCAATTCAAGTGTTAATGAACTTATAAGGAATTGTATTTATAAAATAACCACGAAGACTATCATGCACCTTGTATTTACCATATTTATTTGTATATCTTTTCTCTATCCCTTGACATTGACTCTTAAACCAACTAGCAATCATCTCAGTCAACCATCGTTTTCAAAAAAGTTCAAATTAGGGCTCTCAAACACAAAGAATAGAAATTCATCAAGTATAAAATTACTATTGGCACGGTTCAGATGCGTTCTGGAAGTTAATTTGTGGACAAGGTCACTCAGAGAAAATAATTTAAATTTTTTTTCATGTTTAGGTACAGAAAAAAAACAGTTGAGGGCCAAGGATTTAGCTCAGTGTTTCTGCCACCTGCATCACAACCATAAGGTCCCGAGTTTGATCCCTGGTACCAAAAAAAAAAAAGTTAATTGAGTAGAATATAAAAGTTCCAATTGGGCATGGTGACACACATCTCTAGTCTCAGCACTCAGGAAGCTGAGGTAGGAGGATTGCACCAAGTTCAAAGCTAAACCTGGGCTAGCCTGAACTACATAGTGAGAACCTTGTCTCAAAAACTAAAAACAAACAAACAAACAAAAACCTCAAAAAATAAAAGTTCCATACATTTTAAAGGTACATCTTGGGAGAAATATCTTTCACTCTGGGCTATACTCCAGGCCCTAAGTATAAAAGTTTTAAAACTCTGCTTTGGCCTGAGGGAGCAAAGGGGAGGAAAAGCTTTTTCTTGAAATGTAACCCTTTTTTCCAATGCCAGAGTTGTTATTTTAAAGCAAAAATATAGCCAAGTTGGGCCGGGGATTTAGTTCAGTGGTTCCGCTGCCTATCTCACAAGCTCAAAGACCCAAGTTCAATCCCCGGTACCAAAATAGATAAATATATATATATATATGTATTTTCACACATACACACACATAGCCAAGTTAATTATTCAGAAAACTTTGTGATTTTCCCCTCTAATCTTCTCTATAAAATGGGAAAAGAAACTAGGGTTGAGAAGTGACATACAAATAGATATGATATGTAACATAAGCAAACAGTCATAATCACAGGTACATACAAAACCAGACCATGCCACCCCCAAGCCAAAGGTGTAAGAATACACAATCTACCTGATACATACCCATCTAGATCACACTCTAGTACATATTACCAAATGGTATCCATACCCCACTGGTCCAATGGAATGCATAGTAGAGAAACGGAAATTGACATTTATGAAAATTCATCTCAAACATTCTCAAATTCATATAAAAGCTTTAAAGTTTTTCATAAAGCAAATTCAGGCACAAAACAAAACCATATAGATGCTAATCTTTACGCGATTAGCAAATGTGTAACAATAAAGTGCTAAATCGTAAACCCAAACACTTATCCAGATATGTCAGATCAAGTGTGTAGCTAACACTAACAGCTCCTTTGCATGCTAGAAGGGTAGTTTCTACAACACACAACATTACTCCACACTTGGTCCTTCCAAGTCCTCTGCAGTGAGTGAGTGCTCCAACTGGAGACAAGCACCTGCACATAACTCACAGGCACAGAATGAAGACAGCTGGCACGGGGACTGAAACTCTTCCAGAGTTAGGGCTTCTGGAAGATGAACTATGGGTTCTGCAATCAGCTCACAGAGACCTGAAGCATGGCATTAAAACTTCTCCGGGGCTCAATTGCTTTATAAATAAAATACTCTCCAAGTACTGGGAACTAGAAATAATCTGATGATCCCTGTGAACCACTGAACAGTTTACCCTGAGCGTCACTTGTCACTCAGGCAGCGCATGTGTTTCCCTACCAAGCCACACTCGGGCAGGTGTCATTCAACCAGTTGATTTTTTTTTTTTTTGGTACTGGGGATCAAACTCTGGACCTTGCGCTTTGGAGGCAGGAGGCAGGCACGGTGTCACTGAACTAAATCCCCAGCCCACACCAGTCGATTCTTATATTGAATAAATCTGATGAAACTGTTTTTATATTTCCTGTTCCTATAAAAGTTGGCAAAAAGGGCCCAGGGATTTAGCTCAGTGGTTTTGCCGCCTGCTGCGCAAGCACAAGGACCGGAGTTCAAATCCCGGTACCAAAAAAAAATTGTGTATAAAAGTTAAAGAAAAAATAATGCAATTTTTGGTCCTGTGTTTAAATAACTGGACTAGTAAGTGGGTAGGTAAGTAGCTGATATGAAGTAAGGACCAAGTATTCAATATACATGACCCATAACAGCTCACTTTTAGAAGCAACTGCTAACTTTTATTGTAAGTAGATAAAGATAATAGTTGGGCACAGCATTACATGTCTCAGTCACTCAGGAGGCTGATAGAGACCAACCTGGGCTATTCAGGGAGCCTGCAGCCAGCCTGGGAAACTTAGTGACACCATGTCTCAAAAATAAATTTAAAAAATGTTAGAAGGGCTGGCAGTGTAGCTCAGTGGTAAAGTGCTTGCCCAGTATTTACACTTTCCTGCATAAACCCTACCTCAGAGTAAATAGCAGATGGATGGAGTTTATCTCTTTCTGAAGATGTGTGCTAGAAGAATTACAGACACAGTGGTGCATGCCAGTAATCCCAGCACTTAAGGAGGCCAAGGCAGAAAAATATCAAGTTCAAGGCCAGCTTGGGCAACTTAGTGAGACATTGCCTAAAAATAAAACAAGAAAACAGCAAAGTAAAACAGCTGGGGATGTAGCTCAGTGAGTGTCCTTGGGTTTGATCTCCGGTATTGAAAAATAAGTAAATAAATGAGAGGTGTACACAACAAGCATTAATCAAGGTATAAGCCTCCGCAACTAATGGTCAAGAGAGAAGACAATGAAGATTTTAATGTTTAAAATTCTGATGGCATAAATAAATTACATGCCCATCAACTGATGAAAGGATAAAAAAGATGTAGTTTTTTTTAAACAACTGAGTAATATTCTTTCATAAGGATAAGGTTGAGGCAATTCTAGCCAAATGGATGAACCTGGAGACCATACTCTTAAGTGAGATAAATTGGACACAAATATTTGAATACTGCATTGTTTCTCTGGTGTGAGAAACTAGAAGTGGAAATGAGGACTGAAATGACACCTATAGTCCCAAGCACTTTGGGAGGCTAATGCAGGAGGATCCCAAGTCCAAACTCAGCCTGGAGTAGGGATGTGGCTCAGTGCAAAGGCGCTTTCAAATCCCCAGTTGGTAGAAAAAAAAAGAGAGAAAAAAACACGATAAACATTTAAATAGTAAGACAAGTCAAGGAAAGACACACTTGTGAGCCAGGTGTGGTGATACATGCCTATAATTCTAGCACTGAGGCAGCAAGATCACTAAGAGTTCCAGGGCATCCTGGGCTACACTGTGAGTTCAGGACCAGCCTGAACTATATATACTATATACTGTAACCAAACTGATATATATACTATAGTTCAGGCTGGCCCTGAATTCACAATGTAGCCCAGAGTGGCCTGGAACTCAACGATCCTCCTGCTTCAGCCTCTCAGTGCTGGGATTACAGGCATGCACCACCATGCCTGGCCAAGAGTGTCATTTTAATCCAGTGAAGAATCATTAAACAATGGGTCAATTAGATGTGACTTCAAATGACATATACACACCAAGATAAATACCAAGCACTTAGGTTTAATTTTTCAGTTTACAAGTAATATACGGGACAGAAGAAAAGCTCAAAGACACCATGAGAAAACAGGTATAATCAGAAGGGAGGACACCTTGTACAGGACAAATGGCCATATTTCTTCAATGACTCATTATTCCCTAAAATGGGGCTGGGACTAAATATAATTTACACAACAGAAGATACCTAGAAAGACTAAAAGGAGTTAACTTATATAAAGCTATTAAATGTCTTATTAAAGGGCTAGAGTACTGCTATCCACAGGATATAAAACTACCATTAACAAAGGCTAGCCCGGCGTGCTGACCCATGCCTATAATCCCAGCACTCTGGGAGGCTGAGGCAAAAGAGCTCAATTCAACCCCAGCCTAAGCAATCTGAGACACTGTCTCAAAAAATAAGGCTCAGCATAAATATCTTGGGTTCAATCCCCAATAGCAAAAACAAAACCAGACATGATTGCACATGCCTGTAATCCTAGCACCCAGAAGCTGTCAGGAGGATCACCTTGAGTTCAAGGCCAGCTTGAGCTACATAGTGAAACCCTGTTTCAAAAGACAAACAAAAAAGTCTTCAATTGCATCAAAGTTACCAATGGAGAATGAACTCAGGAAAATTTTAAGGGGCACAGCTCAATAGCTAAGGAGATTTAGAAGGACAGGACCACTCAACCTACATAAACACGACAGATATGCAGGGTAAAATCAATAAATGCTAGCAGAGAACTGGGGGCTGACTGGTACAGCACCAGACCATGTATCAAGCCCTGAGTTCAATCCTCAGCACCAAAAACCAAATTTTTTTTGGTGCTGGGAATTGAACTCAGAGGACCTTTTGCTTTTGAGGCAGGCGGTGGAACCAGTGGGCTAAATCCTGGGCCCATCCAAAAACTTTTTTAAAACTTCAGGTCCGGGGATTTAGCTCAGTGGTTCCACTGCCTGTCCCACAAGTGCAAGGACCAGAGTTTGATCCCTGGTACCAAAAAAAACCCAAAAAGGACATACCTCTCTAACTGGGCCGGGGATTTAGCTCAGTGGTGCTGCCACCTGCCTCGCAAGTGCAAGGTCCCGAGTTCAATCCCTGGTACCAAAAAAAAAAAAAAACTTCAGGACCGGGGATTTAGCTCAGTGGTTCCACAGCCTGCCTCACAAGTGCAGCAAGGTCCTGAGTTTGATCCCCGGGAACAACAAAAAAAAAACCAGAGTATCTTTACAGCTGATCAGTGTAACTAAATATGCAATTTTCTAGTACCTACATTACAAATAAAAAATAGGTAAAAATGTATTAATTTTTTAACCCAATATATTCGGTATTTTCAGCATGTAGTATTTTTAAAATAGGTATTTTACTTTATTTTTTTTCCTAGTGTTTGAAATCCAGTATATACTTAATAGGTCTCAATTCAAACCTCCACGTGCACAACTCAATAGCCACAGGCAGCCAGTGGCTACCCGGCTAGACTGCAAAGATTTACAGTAATTATTAAAGATTGAAGGTAGGTCTATAGTGAATTCACAAAAAGCAGGAACGGAGCATACTTTCCCCACAGAAATGTATGTTCTCCATCTTGAAAAAGTATTCTGGTAAGGGCCAGGGATTTAGCTCAGTGGTACTGTACCTGCCTCGAACGTGCAAGGTCCTAAGTTCAATAGCCAATATGAGAGGAAAAAAAAAGTATTCTGGTCAGAAGCAGTAGTTCACCAAGGGTCCCTAAGGACAAAAATAATGACCTGTTCAAGGCCATCTAAGTAGACTGGGGATGCTGCCAAGTAACTCATCACTTCCCTACCATGCTCAAGGCTGTGGGTTCAACCCTCAGAAGCCTAGCGGGGAATAAAAAGGCCCTGTAAGCTAACCTCTACATTTTGTGCGCTGCTAGGCATGACATCCGACCTCCAAACAGGAGCCCTGACACTTTTTACCACTGACACAAACCCCAGTGATGGAGATGGGGCAACAATGAGCAAGGAGCACCACTGCTACAGCTCCCAGAGTCTTTTCCTTGTTATAGTATTGCGCTTTGTCTCTTCTAGCTTAGTAAATTGGTCTTCTGGAAAATGTATCACTTTCTTTAAATTCAGCTTTTATAAATCTACCAAGACAGAACAAACCCAAATTTTAAAAACTGAGGAGCCATCCTTGAAACCCAGGAAACACACATGATGAAACTCAAGTGTTCTACTGTTGAGAGGAATGTGAGAAGGCAATGTTCAAAAACAGACATGGGAGTGGTGGTGCCCTCTGAATCCCAGCACTTGAAAGAGTGAGGCAGGAGCACTGCAGTGCGTTCAGGGAACAGCCTGGGTTACACAGTGAGTCCAAGACTAGTGAGAAAAAGGAAGCCCCTGTTTCAAAAAATAAAAAAATAAAAAATTTTAAAAAGCAAAGGCAGGAGGGTATAGCTTAATAGTAGAATACCGTGGGGCAAGTGAATGGATGATACACACTAGCCTTCATCTATGTGTGCCTTTGACTATGTGACTTTTACAGAAGTCAGGGAACTCTTGAACAATCTCCATCTCTATTATTAGTACACTGATTATTTTCACTGCAATTCCTAAATTATTTCAAAGATAGGCCATAAATGAAAAGACTCAGTTCCAGGTCTGAAAAAGCTTTTTGATAACTATAACAAAAAAGTAAAAGAACAAAAATTAAGTAAAAAATAAAAATGGCAGTTTATTGAAAATGGCAGAAAACGTCCCATAAATTACCAACCTGAATGAGTGCGCATATGTCTAGTTAGATGAGTCTTCTGAGAACTTGAATAAGGACAAAGTTCACATTTATATGGGCGTTCTCCTGTAAAAGTATAACGAATAGCATGTAAATGCCAAAAAAAGCCAAATGTAATTCCCACCAACAGGACAATATTTAGTACTGAACACAACACAGATTTTCCAATTCCTCCCAGAACAATTTAACATAGATTAGAAACCTTATTTCAGAATTTACATAACTACATTTCAACTTTGTTGACAAAATTACCACTGGCATTTTGAGTTCTCACAGCCATCTTAATTTTCTTCTCCTTTTTTTGTTGTTGATACAGGGTCTCACTATGTAGTTCAGGCTGGCCTCGAACTCATGGCAATCCTCATGCCTCAGCCTCCTGAGTGCTAGGATTACAGGCGTGCACCACACCTGGCCATCTTAGCTTTCAATGGTACATGTTGAACTGAGATACCATCTTGGTAAGGTATCAAGGAGTATGTTTTTCAATTTAATTAGAATTTTAATTTAACTAGAATTATCCATTAAAAATATCCTGGCTGGGGGCTGGACTTGTAACTCAGTGGTAGAATCCTTCCCCTGCGTGCATGCAGCCCCTGGGTTCAATCCCCAGTACAAGGAAGCATCTTGGATGGGTGTACACTCAAGGGTCAAATGCTCGCTGGGCACACTAAGGCCTTAGGCTCAACCCCAGTACATGACAGACAGACAAACTCAAATTTTGATGCTATTGGGTAGGCACATTTTCTGATTTCAGGATCATTCTGCCATTTGAGATGTTCAATTAAAGCAACAACACTTGAGTGCCCATGATGCTGCTGTAGGCTAAAAAAACTCCTAGTAGGACCAGGGATTTAGCTCCATGGTTTCACCACCTGTTGCGCAAGCGCAAGGACCCGAGTTCGACCAACCGGTACCAAAAAAAACCAAAAAACAAAAAAAACACACTCCTGGTAGCCAAGCATGGTGGTGCAAGCCTGTAATCCTAACACTCAGGAGGCTGAGGCAGGATTGTGAATTGGAGGCCAGTCTGGAGTACACAGTAAATTCAAGGCCAGAATGGGCAATACAGCAGGACCCTGGCTCAAAAAAAAAAAGAGCTGGGGATGTAACTCAGTGTGTAAAGAAAAAAAAAAAACTGGACAACTGTTTTGATCTAGTCTTTGGTCACAAGAGAGTAATATTTACTTTGGCAAATTACTAAGAGTACAGCAAGACCACTTATAAAAAGAACACAGTGTAAATTTCCTATAACGGGAATTTAAATAAGATGACACAGGCTGAGTGTGATGGTGCACAGGAAATCCCACCACTGAGGCAGGAGAAAGTTTGAGCCCAACCTGGGCAACTTTATCTCAAAAAATAATAAAAGGTTGGACATGTAGCTCAGCTCTAACTACAGGCTGAGGCAGGAGGATGGCAAATTCAAGATCAGCCCAGACAAGTTAAAAGTTAATGAAACTGTCTCCAAAAAGACATAGGTAATAGTACTCAGTGGTACAGCACTAGCCTAGCATGCAGGAAACTGGAGATTCAAGCCTCAGCACCTCCAAAAGAAGAAAAAAATATTCTTTTCTTCTCAGTGCTGGGGACCAAACCCAAACCTCAGGCTTGCTAAGCTTCTGCTTTGAGGCTGCGTTTACTTTGGCTCCTAACTTGGGATAAGAGTTGCACTTACAGACTAGGAAGGTCCTCTGAACCTAAACTCACTAAACAGGGATACCTAACTTCCTCTAACAGTCTTCTTTCCCACACATTAGGTTTGCTTTCTTGGAAATGCTTTCAGGTGGTGGTAACACACATCTTTTAAAAACTAACTTCTCACTTTCCTCGTTTTGGGAATAATTACAGGTTGTTCCATTTAGGAATTCAGCACCACAAGTAAAAGGTTTTTAAGTGGAAGGTTTTGGTTAAATGGAGCTATGCAAGATCCATCATGGGGTTTTCCTTTTTTGTGAAAGCCCATAATTCCTTTGGGAAAATACATCTTACCTGTATTCACTGTCACATAAACACAACCAAGAAAATCCCAGTTGTTAGAGTACTTCAGGAAGGGTACTGTTAAAGATTTCTCAGATATTCTCCCAAATATCATGCAGCATAATCCTTCAACCATACATATACACATGAAGAATGATCAAAGCATGTGGCGAATGCTTAGTTTATAAAATTTATTACAGTAAAAGATACACTGTCATTAATTCCCCCAAAATATTCCTTTACTTTCACACACTTATTCCACCATTCTTACAAATGGTAGCTTATAAAAAAATTACTGCACAATGTCATCCAGCTTATTCACCAGATGTGACACCAGGAGAATTCTGGCTCTTTCTCCAAGTCAAAATGACCAGGAAAGGCCTAGTGGGGTGGCACTCTGGGGAAGCTGAGGCAGGAGAACTGCATATTCAACCTCAGCCTGGGGTCTCAAAATAAAGTTTTGTTAGAGCACTAGAGAGTTCCACCCCCAGTACTTAAAGGTAAAGATGTTGAGGGCCTGGGATTTAGCTCAGTGGTTTCGCCACCTGCTGCACAAGCGAAAGGTCCTGAATTCAATCCCCGGGACCAGAAAAAAAGGTAAAGATGTTGAATCAATTCAGGACATCAAGACAGCCCTGCCAGCACAACTAAGGACACCCATGAAACTGGACTTCCAGAACTATTTTAGAAAACGCGATGAGGCCGGGCACAGTGACCCACTCCTTCAGTCCCAGCAACCAGGAGGCTGAGGCAGTGAGCTCAAGGCAAACCTGGACTACAGTGAGACTTCGTCTCAAAACAAAACACAAGTTTAACTCTCCAAGATAAATGTAATTATTACACATCTCGAAAGTATCAATGCAAAAAAGCAGCCAGGCATGATAGCCCACGCCTGTAATCCCACTGCTCCGGGCTGAGGTGAGGCAGCCAAGCTCAGGGCCAGCCAGAATGACAGAAAGCCTGTCTCAAAAAACAAAACTTAAAACATCAGAAAGTAGTAAAGTGCCAGTGAAGATGGGATAAGGGTGTCTGAAACAAGGGTAAATAATTAGAGCGGCATTAATATGCCAATGTCTTTTAGTGTAATCAACTAAAATTTAAATATTCACCATATTTTCCTACCACACCTTGTATTTTTATCCCATGAAGAAAATAGGGCATGAAGATTAAATTTGTTCAAAGTCACAAAGAAAGCAAATAATGGACTCTAGATTTGAACCCAGGTCCCCTTTGTCAAGTACTATTTAAGGACCCACTCAATTAGCAAAGGTGTATGATGAACCATGCACACCTGTAATCCCAGTACTCAGGAGGCTGAAGCAGGATTGTGGCAAATTCGAGGCCAAGGCCAGCCTGCAATACAGAGCAAGACTCTATCTCAAAAAATAAACAAAAAATTAAAAGGGCTGGAAATGTAGCTCAGTTTGAAGGCCCTGGGTTCAATCCCCAGCACTGCCACTCAAGAAGGAAAAAGACAAGTGAGGGTTGAACTGGCCGACTACAAGGCTTCTCTTACCTGTGTGAGTGCGGACATGCTGGACATAATTATTTTTTCTGTCTGAAAAATAGTTGCATTTGCCACAAGTGTACACTTTCCTAGGGAAGTGGTTCCTCAGGTGTTTCCTCCAGTGGTACTCGCTGACGGTTGTGTACGTGCAAATGATGCACTTGTACACTCGCTCATTATCCCCTGCTCTGGTGTGGTGCTTCAGGTGAGCGGTGTAATGATCATACCGATTGGTGTTATAGCCACAGCGGTCACAGCGGATGGGGCCCTTCGAGAAATCTCCCTCCTCGACAGCGGAAGCACCAGACTCCCTGGCTTTGGCTTGCTTCTCTGCACTTTCTTCCACAAAAAACTTCTTGGCACTGTGAACTCGGATGTGATGCACAAACTGCTCCTCAGATTCTGCTTCATACTGGCATGGCTTACAGCGAAATGGTTTGGTTTTCAAGTTCTTGCATTTGTCCTCTGTTCCAGGTGTTTCAGGAGGAAGATCTTTATTTGAGCTGTAAATCTCGGGAGCAGCTGATGCCTCAAATACAGGTTGTGGTTCTACAACACTGAGCTCCAGATTCCTCAGTTCCACGTTCTCCAGTCCATTATTAGGTTCACCCTTTACTTCAGAAGACTCCTCCAGTCCTTCTCCATCACTATCCGAGAAGTTGTTATCCCCAACAGGCATCAATTCTGCCATCTGCCTTTCTTCACCAACCAGGTAATCACAGCAGCTGCCATTTACTTCCCCAGTTAGGGCCACATTGGCCAACATGATGAGCTGAGGCGCAGCCAGTTCAGCTTTGGAGAGGTCGTGCAGGTCATACATGTCGTTAGGCAGAGCCATGCCCATGTTGCTGCTGCTGGTGAACAGCCCAGCTCCTCCAGACGCCTGCCCCATCACCTGGGTGGCCATTGTACTCTGAATTGAGGACAAAAACAAGAACAAGAGAGTGCCAGCTTAAACACAACTCTTAGCAGCCTAAAATCAGAGCATCATTCCAATTCTTCATAACCTAAAAAAAGCGCATTTTTAACATAACCGTTACAACTCAAGAGTTTCTCATTTATTAAAAACAAATCTTTAGACTATTTTTGTTGGGCCGAGGATATAGCTCAGCAGTAGAACATATGCCCTGCAAAGAAATAATTTTGTTAATTTCCAATTTTTTTTTACTACAGTCATCAAAAATGAAGCATAAAAACTTTTCTTTATCCAATAAAGTTTTCTATCAATTGCTTGACATAATTCAACCATCTAGTTCTACCACCAGCATGCATGTATGTCAAACCTTTTTCTGTCGAAAAGCACAAACTCTTCATTTTGAATGCCGATTTTAAGTTACTTAAAAAAATCCAATACACGAATAGTAAACTGTTGTCTCCTCAGTTCTCCCCTTCAGCAGTTCAATGGTCTGCATCAGTAAACCAAGAAATTAACAATCACTCTGTGCATATATTAATTACACAGGTATGTAAGGCAGCCTGTAACTGGTCAATTTAATTAAATTTCATAGGAACTCATGTACTCCAAAATGAAATACAATAAAAACTACCTCTTAAGTCTCTCAATTTTGATGTTTCAAAACGTAAAAGACAAAAAAAAAAATTATGGACTCGCCTTTCCTGTGAAAAGGTAAGTTTGGATTATTTGAAACTTCACAAAACTTCCCCCAAAATTCTTTAATAAAACGATCTTACAACTCGGCGGGACAATCTGCAACTTTCTTGCACTGTGCTTGACTTGGCCTACTTGCCTAATGGAAGCCATTACAAGATCACCTTCTTGAAAACAAGTTGGGCTTTAAATGGCCTGAAACAGTCTGAAAAGGTGCTGCTCTCCCACTAACTCCGCGTCCTCTCATAAACTACCCAAAAAGCTAAATATTGAAAGAAAGTTAAACCGAAAATACAAAAAAATCAATCCGCTTCACCCAAGGGTACAAACCCGTTTAGTTTAGTTCTCTGCACCAACAAAGTTGGAACCGAATGCCATCACAGGAAACGGAGCGAAAGCTGTCTTGGGGCTCAACAGCCCGACTACTCGCCGACTCACCCCGACCTCCCTTTCCGAGCGCAGCCTCCCACCGGCCACCTCCCTACAGACAGGACCCCGGTAGGAAGGCCCGCCCGGCGCAGTCCGCAGCCCCACGGCGCCGCACGAATTCCTCCGAGCGCGGCCCGGCAGCGCATTCCGCCCTCCCGTAGGCATTCGGCCATTTTCTCCGAGGACCGAGCACAAAGCGGCGCTCCGAGAGCTCGGGGGCCCGCTCTCGCTTCCCCCGCCGTGCCCGCGCCCCGCGGCAGTCGCCCCCACCTCGGCCCGCGGCTCCTCTCGCACTCCCCGCGCTCGGTCCGCGGCGGCGGCGGGCGATCGGGTCGCTGTCCCGCCCGAGCGCGGCCGGCGAGGCGAGCGGTCCCTTCCGGCCCGGCCAGTCGGGCTCCGCGACCCCCGGCTCGCTCGCTCCCCTCCCTCGGCCGAGGCGCGGCGCCCGGAGCGTCCAGGGGCCCCACGCCGGCCGGCCGCCCCCGCGCCCCGGAAGTTTGCGAACTTCACTCGCCCACGGCGCGGGGGACGGGCGCCCGCCTGGCCTGCGCGGAGGACCCGGCGCAGGAATCGCTGTCCAGCTCCGCCCGCGGCCCGGGCTGACTCAACCCGCCGGGCCGCGCTCCGCCGCGCCTTCCGGCGAGGGAGAGGCCAGGGGAGGGGGCGCGGGACCAGGGCCGAGGAGGAGGAGAAGGAGAAGGAGGAAGTTTCAGGACTGGGGCCCCGAGGAGCTCCGCGAGGAGCTCCGCGCGCAGCCTCGGAGGACTCGCGGGGCCACGGCCCGACTCACACGGGGAGGGGTCCCGCAGCCCGGCCCGGCCCCTGCCCAG